TTTTTTTTTTTTCGTACGGGGCCGTACGTACGGCCGTACATACGGCCGTACATACGACCGTACGATAACCCCCCCGTACATCGTACGGAGTGTTACACAGACCGGCGGGGCTCGGATTGGGCGTGACACGGTGGGCTTGAACGGCAGTTGTGGGCTGACACACCCGGCAGTCTCAAGTGTTGAGGGCCTTCTTGACCCAAACCCCTACCGGACATAGTAAGGCTAAAGACTGTGTCTGACGACTCGACTGTCCCGGGGGATACGAACCTTCCCAAGGACCGGTATAGACCGGCGGGCTGCTCGGTGTGGCACGGTAGGCCCGAAAGGCTGAGTTGTGGGTTGTGCAACAGGCAGAACTAAGCTGATCACGTCGTCCTGTCTGCGACGTTAAAGAATTCTTGAGGAGTTACGGGGGATCTCCTTAAATGCCTCCAGATCAGCCACTGGTTCAGTAGTGACAGCCATAGTGTAGGTCTAGGCTAGCGACCATAGTTGACAGGGTTCTATACAAACCCTGTGGTCCTTAGAGAGTCTGTCAGCGAGTTCTGCGGGTCGGTCTGCGTGGTGAGGAGTGGGGCTGTTCTGTCGTGCACCTGTCACCATGGATGATGTATGGGCTACTTGTGGGGTTCTCCCTCTGGGGGACCCTCTAGCGTTTCATTTTCCCATTGGGATTCTGGAACACATTTTCGTGTAGGGTTGACACACGTACGGGGACGAGTACCTCGCCCTACATGGCCGAGTAGGAAGCAAAGGCCGCCGCGATCCTGAAAGAGAGGAGAGAAACGAAGGAGGCCAAGAAGAAGGCCCTACAGGAGGAGCAGGCGGCGAAGTTGAAAAGAATAGAGGAGGAGATGGCCAGAGATAAAGAGAGGTTGAAGAAAGAAGAAGAAGCGAAATTGAAGGACGTGGAAGAGGAAGAAGAAGAAGAAGTAGAAGAGAAGCCACTGGACAGAGGAAGAAGAGGAAACAGAGGGGAGTCCAGTTAGACAAAGGAAGACTTGATGGAGAAGAAGAGTTCAGAGTGGGTTGCAGGACTAACCCTGGGAGAGGATGAGGAGGCGTTGATGTATGTACCCAAGGACGATCAGGAGGCGGCTGTGCAAGAGTGGGAAGCAAAGAAGGACCCACTCAAGCCACAAGTGTTCGAAGATGAGAAGAGGATGGAGTGGAAGTTCCGCCTCACTAGGGAGAGGAAGAGAAGAATGGAGGCGGCAACAGAGGCGGCTAAAGAGTTGGAAGAGATTGGGAAGCAGAAGGATCAGATGGCGGTCCAAGTATACTTACTGGGGAAGGTAGAGATCATGGCCAAGAATGTGGAACGCCTGGCAAAGATCCAGGAGGAGCAGCTTTTATTTGGGAGAGGCCAGGACATTGTCGTGCGTTCGATACGGTCGGGACTTAGGGACTTTGCTCGGGAGTTGGCAATGCAGGTGGGCTCGCATGTGACAGCCCGCCTCGAGGGCACTGAACAATATTGTGTTGGTGCCATTGAGGGCGCCAAGCTGACTGCCCCAAAGGAAGAAGAAGCACGTCCCCGTAGAGAGCCGGTCAAAGTTAAGTTTCCTGATTCCTGCAGCGGAAAGAAGGAAGAAAACTTTGACAATTGGGAGGCTAACGTCAAAGCGTACGTGCACCTGCAGAAGGTGTCCCCCGATGAGCAGGTCCTAATCGCCATCTATGCTTTAAAGGAAGAAGCCGCCAGCTTCGCCCGCTCCTTAGTCTGCGCTGCGAATTGCAGCGACGATGTGGTTGCCTACTCTGCCTTTACCCCCCTCGCTGATGTCTCGCGCAGCGTCAGAGCCTCTGACCGATTGCAAACTATCCACTCTCGTCAGTGGAGGAGTGCCAAGGCCCTTAAGGGAGTAATGGACGAGCTCGTGGTTGTTCCTGACCATGGGGTCACAGAGACCCAACTGGTCAACCTCTTTTACCGGGCTATGCCCGAGTCATTGCACGGGCACTTCTTTGGGAAGAGCCAGCAACCCACCATAACCTACGACGCATTGAGCAAGGAAGTGGTGGCCTTCGAGGCAAGGTCTGTGTCAGTCTCCACCTTCTGGCATAAGGACCTGGATACGGGAAAGAGGTGGAAAGGTCGCACTATCTCAGGGCAGGTGAAGACAAAGGATAGCCTGATCCTTACTTTAGATGAGGGTAGTGTCAACGAGATCCCCTACGACCAGATAGAGTGGGGGCTGGAGAACGTGGACAGCGACACGAGTCAAGGGAGAACTTACGCTACTGTCGCGGCTGGAGGGAGGCCGCAAGGAGGAGGACGAGGTCAGGGCCAAGGGGGCCGGGCCTCAGGGAACCGTTCCCAAGGCTCAGGGGGTTGGCGGCAAAGGAGGAAACCGCCAAGCGGGAGGAAGGGGTCAAGGTCCCCCGCAAAACCGGTCTGGGAATAGGTCCCCTTACAGGAGGAGTGGATGGCACCCAGGGCTGCCACAAGGCAGGCATTGGGAAGATTTGGGCCTAGACCAGCGCTTATGGCAACAGTGTGCGAACTAGGGGCAGTGCATCTACTGCAGTGACCCTGGCCACATCATCAAATACTGTCCGAAGTATAGAGAGGCTCGTTCAGCTGCACAAGAAGCAAAAGGCAGCCGCCGGTAGGGGTAGCAACTGCCTCTACCATAGGGCCATGTGGAGATGAGTCAGCAAGCCGACACGAATCTCCCAAACCACATGAGCCCATGGCAGAAGTTGCAGGCCGATGCCTAGATAGCTGCCCAGAGACTGCATGTGTTAGAGTCTCTTTAGGCACTTCCCTCACAGGCGTGGCAGAGGAATTGAAGGAGGGAATGCCCGTCTGGGCCAAGATGAGGAAAGAGAATAGGGGGCAGCTCATATTAGTAAATACAAAGATTTTTAAAGTTCGAGTTGGCGCCTTAGTGGATAGTGGAGCCACTCGTAGTTATATCAGTAGGAAGGCGCTACAAAAGCTGAAGTTGCAGTTAAAAGTCCAAAGACTAGCAGACCCCATAGTAAGTATCCTCGCGGACAATCGCACCATGCGAGTAGAGGAGTACGTAGAGGGAGTCCAGACGTATTTCCGCCTAGAAAAGGATGGGAAGGTGGAGAAAGTTCTCCATTCCCTGACTCTCCTCATAGAGGATAGCCTCCCGTTTGACATAGTCCTAGGTATGGACTGGGGAGAGGCCGCAGGGGCCACACTTCGTTTGAGGGAGCACGAGTGTAGGCTCCCTACCCGGTCAGGCGGTGTCAAGACTGCCCGTCTGTTCCATGCGTCAGGAGTAGACAACTCCTTGGCACACTGCTGCCTTAGCGCTCCTGCGGTCACAAGGCTAGTGAAAAAGGAGCAGCTAGAGGAACAAGGTTTTGTCGCCTATGTTAGGCCAGTTACTGAGCCTAAGGAAGAGAAGCCTATAGACCCTGCTATGGCCAAGCTGTAGGAAGAGTTCATAGACTTAGTGAAGCCGCCGACAGGAGTAGTACCGCAGCCTATCCAGCACCGCATTGAGATTGAGCCTGGCAGTAGGACCCCCAAAGGATCCGTGTATAGGATGTCTCTGCGGCAGTTAGAGGAGTTGCGCAAGCAACTTGACGAGCTCCTAGAGAAGGGTTGGATTAGGCCCAATTTGTCTCCATTCGGGGCACCTGTTCTATTTGTCCCCAAGAAGGAGGGAGAGCTTAGAATGTGCATAGATTATAGGGGTCTGAATGCTATCACAGTAAAGAATGCTGAGCCGCTGCCTAGGATAGATGATCTTCTAGATCGAGTGCAGTGGTGCAGATATTTTTCGAAGATAGATTTGAAGTCCGGCTATCATCAGATAGAGGTTCATCCTGATAATCAGTACAAGACAGCTTTCCGGACTAGGTACGGGCACTACGAGTTCATCATGATGCCCTTTGTACTAACCAACGCGCCAACGACTTTTCAGCGATGCCTGAATGACCTGTTTAGGCCTTGGTTAGATAGGTTTGTTGTAGTTTATTTGGATGATATCCTAGTGTTTAGCAAGACCCTCCAAGAGCATTAGGGTCATCTCAGGCAGGTCTTGGAGAAGCTGAGAGAAGCTAACTTTAAGATCAACGCAAAGAAGTGCGAATGGGCAAAGACCCAAGTTTTGTATTTGGGCCACGTCTTAGACGGAGACGGCATCAAGCCAGAGGATAGTAAGATTGCAGCGATCAGGGATTGCCCTACGCCGCGTACGTTAACGGAATTGCGGTCATTCTTAGGCCCAGCAAACTATTATAGGAAGTTCGTAAGGAACTTCTCCACTATCGCTGCGCCCCTTCGCAGATTACTAAGGAAAGAAACCATTTGGAAGTGGGATAAGGACTCCACGTCTGCCATGAAGAAGTTGAGACAGGCGTTGATAGAATACCCAGTCCTTAAGATGGTCGATCCGTCCTTACGCTTTGTCATCACTACAAACGCCAGTCAGTACGGCATAGGTGTTGTTCTGCAGCAAGACAATGGCAATGGCTATAGGCCCGTAGAGTTCATGTCTGCTAGGATGCCTTCAGAGAAGGTTGCGACATCTACCTATGAGAGGGAACTCTACGCTCTGAGGCAAGCGCTAGAACATTGGAAGCACTACTTGCTTGGGAGACACTTCAAAGTCTATTCAGACCGCGAGACGTTGAGGTGGCTGAAGACGCAGGCCAAGATGACACCTAAGCGCACTAGGTGGGCCACAGAAATAGATCAGTATGATTTTGAGCTCAAGCCAATCAAAGGGAAATATAATGTAGTTGCGGACGCTCTGAGTAGGAGAGCTGACTACTTTGGAGCAATAGTTCACTATCTGGACATAGGGAGAGACCTGCAACAAAACGTCAGCGAAGCATATGCGCAGGACCCTATCTACAGTGACCTCCTCAAGAGAGTAAAGGAGGCCCCAGAGACTGAGCCAGATTACCGCACTACTGACGGACTGTTATTTGAGAAGACTAATGTAGTTGACCGTTTGTGCATTCCCAACATTGAGGAAATCCATGGTCTGATCTTAGGGGAATGTCACAATACAGAGGGTCACTTTGGTTGGCAAAAGACTCTAGCCAACCTAATGCACGCGTACACCTGGCCAGGGGTGAAGAATGACTGCATAAAGTACGTTCGCAGTTGCAAAGTTTGCCAGAGGAATAAGACTACGACGCGTGCCCCGCTAGGTCTTCTCAGACCCTTGCCTATTCCCGATCAGCCGGGAGATTCGGTGTCCATCGACTTCATGGACGCTGGCGTCAAGAGTAGGCATGGCAAGAGACAAGTTATGGTACTAGTTGATAGATTTAGCAAGTATGTTGTCTTTATACCTTTGCCTTCAGAGGCACGAACCGAGTTAGTGATCCGTAAGTTCTTTGATCATTGGGTCAGTGAGCACGGGGTCCCATTGTCGATAGTTAGTGATAAAGACACCCGGTTCACAAGTTAGAACTGGCAGGAGTTGACGAGAGTCTATGGCTCTAAGTTGTTGATGTCGTCTGGCCGTCATCCAGAGACCAACGGTCAGACTGAACA